CCATGCGGGCAGGGGACTGGACTCGATGACCTCTCGAGGTCCCTTCCAGTCCTAGAATCTATGAATCAGCAATAGGATTGCTGTACTCTTTTCTCAGAACCTGCTTGTGGAGAGCAGCAGCAAGACTGCATTTTCTTTGGTTGCTTTCAGTCCCAAAGCTAAGCTGACAGCCCTCCATTGGCCAAGAATTGCTTGTTTAATTAGTACTAAATCATGAGAGAAATGGCACAAGCGTTAATTGCAGCAGCTGGCTCAGGGAAAAGCCATGAGCATCCTGCTCTTAGCAACTGCAGTGCCTATGCACTGTCCTGAGGGGTACGAAATAATGTCCCTCACAGGGCTTGGTGTGCTAGGGTCAGTCTGGGTTATAGAGGGGTTAGGAGCCACACTGGGAATAGGAATAGGACAATGCTGGCTGTGTGTTTGTTACAAGGCGAGATAGCTCGGGCAGACAAAGTGGTGGGGCTAGCTGTCTGGAGGCATGACTGCCCATCCTCAGTGCTGGGGAAGGATAGCTGGTGTTCTGGGGTACCAGGCTGGACCTCTGCTCTACAGGGAGGGAAAGTAGAGTGGGATGGGTGGAGAGGACCCTAGGCGCTAACAGAGGGCAGGAAGCGAGAAGTCCAGCTGGATGAACTCTCCTTCATCTAGGCAAGATTGTACCTTATTCACAAACAGGAATGGGGGAGACAGAAGGACAATGTTACACGTGGAGTGGGGAAATCTTTTACCAGAATAGTGAGTGTCTGGGACTTTATATAGCCTTTGCGGTTCTAACAGCAGCCTTGATATCAGCTGGAATAGACCCTCTACAGTAGCTCACACACACAACTGGAGCCGGGGGAACAATAGTGGAACAAGTATCAGAGGGGTAACCATGTTAGTCTGGATCTGTAAAAAGCGACAAAGAGTCCCGTGGCACCTTATAGACTAACAGACGTATTGGAGCATGAGCTTTCGTGGGTGAATACCCACTTCGTCAGATGTGGGACAGTAATTTATTTAGCACTTCTCCCAAACAAAACTAAATGGGAAGGAAACAATGGCAATTTTAAGCTTATGTGGAATAAAGAGTGAAACTTTTCTGCTGATGTTCACCTTACTCCTGAGTTGGAACATCCTTTACTGCACCCACCTCCAAAAACATACAGGATCAGGTTTGACTGGAGGGCAATGCAAGCAGCCTTGGCATTTAGCGAGTGTCTACATTGGCAAGCCTTTGCTCAAATTTCCCCACCCCACAGTGACTGCCGCTTCAGCTCCAGCCATTGCAGCCCTAATACAGACTCCAGGTGGCCACAGAGCTACCTGACACAATGCTTTAAATGCCAGCAGCCGCACTGTCTTCTCTAGCACTCTCACTGTTGCTACCACCTGTGGAATTGTGCAGCTGGGAGCAATGGAAGGAAATGTTAGCAGAAAACTTTAGCATAGAGAGAGCCAGAGATGGTTAGCTCCTTAGGGCAGGTACTGTCCTGTATGCACAGGGGCCAAGCACACCATTGGCATTTTGACAATTAAGCTGTGCAAAATAATGCGAGACAAACCATTCTTTATTGTTTCCTAGATTTTAAAGCCAGAAGAGATCAGAGTAGCTTATCATAACACAGGCAATATCAGGCAGACTTCAGATCAGCATATTTCTTGACTGGCAAAGGAGGATAAAAACATTAAACCAACAAAACAGCTTTTGAAGCTCTAACACACAAAGCTGGATGGTTCAATTAAGCAATTGGTGTCGTGGAGTCACAGTCATTTTGCTTAAAAACAATTTGCATTTCTGCATCGACACTAAGAATTGTGATTTGAGGGGCTGATAAGCCAGTGCTCGTGCAGCTCCCCATGTTAGGATTTCAAGCCTTGGGGTCTAGCATTTTTGTACATGTTCATGAACAAAATGTTGCTAGGTGAATAGAGACAAAAACACTAGAAATAAAGACAGATGGGGATTTTAGGAGCCTGTTTCTCACTCTGTGACTAGGTAGCATAGATAACAGGTATTTCTCTCAGTTCACCATGCTGCAGTGTCACTGGCCCAGAAGAGGTATTTCCAGGAAAGATGATTTCAGTGCTAGTGAATCAGAGCTTCTGATGGCAATAACAGGTCATCTACCATTCCAGAAATGATATAGAAAAAACCATTACAGAACAACCATTACTTCAGAATTAAGAGGGTCACAAACATTTTGTTGATGTTTCTAGGTAGAAATGTTTCTTTGCCAGTAATGTTTGTATTACTGGCAAAGCTGAAATCTATTCCAGTAGCTTGCATACATGTGGTATTCTTAAATGTGTAAGATTTAGGGCATGCATGCTGAAGTGTGAAAGGCTGCTAGCTGACAATCTCCAAGCGTGATCTATATTGCATCTTATTCTTCTTGGCAGACATAAACCTAACATCGTTGAGTAGTGAAAGTCCTATGGGCCTCGGTGATGTCTTCTATGTTCATCCTATTGTTCATTTCTATTGGGAATTGGGACATTCTTTCATTGCTGGGCCAACATAGAGGTCGAATGGAGGGTTGTAAAAGCAGCTTTTTGATCTAGACTTTGTAATGAACCACAAGAGTCTTTTGGTTTTTTGAAGAGTATTGAGTGTTATTTTTGATTTGCCTTTCATCCGCTGGCGTTTGAGACAGGGGAATCTCTGTTATCTGGCCAGCTATCTCAAAGTTTTGGCGCTCTTTTGAATTGAGAATGTTTTCAGTACGCTGAGGGAACGGTCCACATTTTACTAAAGTGATAAAACACCTGTAGAACTAAAGAAGAAGAAAAACTGAAAAACTGAAATTCAGGAGAGCGTATGCTAAGAACATAGTCTCGAGCAGCCCCTTAAGGATCACATCACACAAACCTGAGAGAGGAAGAATAAACTTCATATTATTACTAACTCCCTGCACTTTATCCTGTGCATAATAAATCAGAGGAACTGGCCGAGAAGCCTGTTAATGTAACCCACTCGTCAATGTGTGTTACAGGTCCCACTCCATGCGCCATCCACAGAGAACACAACTGTGCTACAGCCCCCACTTACATATCCCATCTTTTTAACTCAAGATTTAGAGCCCCATGATTTTAGCTCTGGACGTCCCCAGTTTAATCCCTACTGTCAGCCAATATGAGGGCCATCCCCTTTTTAATCACAGCTTTGCTACCAAATCAGATGACAGAATGTGGACTGTTTCAAAAGCAACCCCCTCCAGGGTGCAGGAGGTGATGGGGTAATGAAGCCGGCTATAAAAGGGAAGGCGGAGTCACTGTGGAGGAGCAGTATACCACCGCACACAATGGAAAACCAAATGCAGACCCCAAGACAATCCACCTCCCTACTAGAATTTTTCAACTTTGCTCAGAGATATACAGCTTTAAAGATGGATTTCCCTTTATTTTGATTGATCTTCGGTTCAGACTTCACTATCAAGCTAGAGCTGAGCTCCACATGAAGCACAAGGACAGAATATAGGTTGCTTGTTTTTAGGATCTACTTCCTTCAAAAGGAACTCTTCATAAACATGGACTGAACAGACCCTAATGCATCCCATTCACTAGGCTTCTGACTCTGATGCAAGGGTTGAAGATCCCTTTCAAAAGAACCTCACCCCTCTTTTAACAGCAATCCCCGTGGTCTAGGAAATGTGGCAGGCTTTGGTTGAAGTATTACATATTTGACACAGATAGAGATGATAGCAACAAGAACGGGCCATTTGCTGAAGAAAAAGAAACCCACATACAAAACCACCCAAACCGAACTAAAACCGAAGAGGCCAGTTTAATTAGTAATAGAACCTCATCACTAACACTGAATTTAGGCTACAAGTCAGGATGACAGCTCAGAATTTGGTTGACCCTTGACCAGAACTTTGTTAATGTAATCAAAGAAGGTGCCTAAAGAAAGCCCTGTATGAAAGAGAACCTTGATGTAAGGACAAGAAGAGCCAGGGCTGGGAAACGTCACTATTCCAGAGAAGCACAAGTTACAAATCTATCACCGCCAACTTTTATCACTTTCAGTGTAACTGAACATTCGGCAAAACCCTCATGGCTTTCAATATTCTCATGGAATTGCTCCCTTCTACCTCTCTCTCTTGGTGTTCCCCTACAGCCCATCACATTCATCCCCATGTTAGCCATCTCTCTATTCCCTTCTCTCTGATTCTTCCATTCTTTCCTTTCCTCAGATCACTGAGACACTTCCTCTCATGAAACTAAACTTGAATCTTCCTGTTGGTTTTAGCCTCTAATTTACTCTGGGCAATATTCAATACAGTGCATTCTTCCATCCCCACTCACTATAACTAGGATGTCAATATATATCCATGTAAGAGCACTGGGAGCTCAAGGGAAATAATGCAAATTACCTTTCCTTAGATGGTAAGCTCTTCAGGGCATGGACTGGCCCTTCCTAAAAATGTTCATAGAATCATAGAATATCAGGGTTGAAAGGGACCTCAGGAGGTCATCTAGTCCAACCCCCTACTCAAAGCAGGACCAATCCCCAACTAAATCATCCCAGCCAGGGCTTTATCAAGCCTGACCTTAAAAATCTCTAAGGACGGACATTCCACCACCTCCCTAGGTAATCCATTCCAGTGCTTCACCGCCCTCCTAATGAATTTTTTTCCCCTAATATCCAACCTAAACCTCCCCCACTGCAACTTGAGACCATTATTCCTTGTTCTGTCATCTGCTACCACTGAGAACAGTCTAGATCAGGGGTGGGCAACGTTCGGCACGCGACTCGCCAGGGTAAGCACCCTTGCAGCCGGGCCAGTTTTATTTACCTGCTGACATGGCAGGTTCAGCTGATCGTGGCCCCACTGGCTGCGGTTTGCCGTCCCGGGCCAATGGGGGCAGCAAGAAGCAGCGCGGGCGAGCGATGTGCTGGCCGTGGCTTCTCGCCGCCCCCATTGGCCCGAGACGGTGAACCGTGGCCAGTGGGGGCCGCAATCGGCCAAACCTGCTGCGTCAGCAGGTAAATAAAACTGGCCCGGCCGCCAGGGTGCTTACCCTG